AGTTTCCCTCCATTTATTAAAGAAAGAAGTAAAGCCTTAATTCTCTTTTTGTCTTAGCATCTCAAGTTGTCTATGGTCAGTTTCAACTTGAATATTGCACTTGTACCTATCAACGAAAGCGTTTACTATTGATTCCCAGGTAGAGGTTTTCTCCTTGTCAAGGGAAAAGAACCATTGTTGGCAAACGGTTTCAAGAGATAGTGGGAACAGAGAGGGAAAAACCTTCTTATCGATACCCTTAATGCTCATTATAGTTTCAAAAGCTCTTAGATGGAAGTAAGGGTTATCTGTTGCCTTGAATTTAGGGATGTCAGTGGCGTTGAACTTATGTGGAAGAAGTTCCTTGTCCAGCGAGACCCCTTGTGAACTCATGCCCTGAAATTTATAGTCGCTAGATAGCTTGCTTAAACTTTCTTGCATGAGGTTCATTTGTTGTTGCTTCACGGGATCATCGACCTTGAGCGCGAGAAGCTTCAGTGTCTCAGTCACAGTAGCCAGCTGGTTCTTAAGATCATTGACTTCTTCTTGAGTTGCCATTATCTTCCTAGCTTTCCTCTTTTGACAAATCGGTTCATCAAAAAGCGAGACTTGAATAAAGAGGTTGTCCTTGATTAATCGCCCTTCTCTCCTTGACCAAGTACTGTGAAAAAGGAATTTGGGGATACGTATTGTTAATTATTTGACTCAAACTTTATTCAACATGCAATGGATGGAGGAAGTGAAGAAAGATTGGAATAGAATGTGAAAGAAGATTTAGATGGAGGGATATGAAGAATTAGGAATAGAATGCACCCCCAACTCAAATGACGGAAAAGACCGACTTGTGCATGAACCTAAGACATGGTCATGGTGATGCATACTCGAAGTGTGTGCTAAGACTAGTGAGTGTAGGTGACATATTAAGACTCGTTTCATGACCATGTGGCTAGACAATGTGACTAGACTCAAGCAAAGACTAAGTTAAAACTTCACGTATATGCATTAAACTGGACAGACTGTGGTATTTTAGTCATAACTTTTGATCTGCGACTCTATTGGGATGAAACCAACGCCAAAATAAAGATAAAACTCGGGGCTACAGATCCATAGGTTGTACGACTCGTAGGTCTTCCTAGAACTCCGGCTATGACCAAAACAAGTTGACGTTTGTGCAGTATACGGGAATAAAAATCCGGGTTGACTTAAAGGAACTATGACTCGATTTTATGTTTATTTATTAGCTCAAATTAATTAATTAATTAATTAATTAATTAAACAAAGTCCTTTAGTCATTAATCAGTTTATTTAGTCTTAACACAAGTCAAGCAAACAGTTAGGAAAAATCACATAGAGTATGCACAACAACTAATGCACAATTAGTTAAGTAGGCACAATATGATGCAATGAGTTTGCAACCTAACCATGGCTCTAGTTCTCTAAAGTTCGGGATATGGTTTATTCAATAAAGGGTCCATGGTTAATTGTCCGGATGCACCGCGCGGAAGCCTAACCGTGAAGGGTTGGCGCGAGTGGATGGGACACCGCGAGTTTTAGAAAAAAAACTCGCTTCCATGGTTTAGTGAATTCAAAATCTCGGATGTACCCTTTGTTGCACGGAGCGTTCAATCGGGTAGAAGGAGTATGAATTCCCAGAGGGTTATGTCCATATGTAGAACACATATGGGTTTCAGAAAAGTGAGAAAAAAATTCAATCAGGAAGTAGGATCGAGCAAACAATACGAAAAACTGGTCGAAATTAGAACGCATATTTCTGGCTCGGTATTGGGGGAAATTGGCGCCAGCAATCAGAGACTGGCGCCAGCTTTTAACTGTAGCGCCTGGCGCCAATACTGGCGTCTGGCGCTACGACTAAAATGCTGGCGCCAAGCTCTGGCCCCTGACGCTACTTCCCACATGCCTCAGCAGCTTTCTGTGCTCGATAAAATTTTCCAGTTTCGCGCGGTGTTATTTCAGTCCTAGTTATGAAAGATATTCCTCAAATTTCCTACGTGTAAAATCCTATGTTTTTAACTCATTACGGATGGTCTTTCCAATGAGATCTTTTTAATGCATATGACAATAATGTTAATCAAAATTACGCACATGAAATACTTAGAACTTTTCGAGTCTCATCCACTCATTCTAAATCATTGCCGAAACAAATTCAGGAATTAAAATAGAAATCCTCCCCATTGGAGTCGCCAAAAACTGTAGGGAATAATTTCGAGCCTTAAATCCCACTAGCTCGAACCCCACTGTGATCATACACTAAAGTACGGTGGCGTCCAAAAGGGAAGAAGATAGAGCAAAAGAGCCGCCAACAAGTTTTTAAGGAACTTGTAAATCGTTCAAAGGATGAAGGTTACACCCCTTAACGATCCAAGAGATCGTCAACTCCATAAGGTCATGAACCAAATAAGGGTTCGGGGATGAAGGTACAAATCCAACCTAAAAGAGATTGAATCTTCCCTAATAATAGGCCTCTACTTTATTCTGCTCGTATTCATGTGCGCTTTCTGATTAACATGCAATCAATAGGATTAACCCTAAACCTGTTTAATCTATGTTGGTTGAATTTAATGCACAAATAAACTATTATTGGCGATCACTTGAATTATAATCACATTAACCCTAAACAAGATTATTAGTTATCTTATTAAGCGTGATTACAAGTACCAATTTCCCTTTAAACATGCATAAAAGGTGTGATCAAGCAGTAAATAATATCAAGCAACATAATAATAATAATCATGAAGAATAATAATAATCATAAATAAAATAATCATCATCAAAATAATTATAACAATTATAATCATAATCATGTTCATGTTAATATTAAAGCATAATAAAAATAGTAAGATCCTAGGCATGATACTAACAAGATTAATAACAAACCCTAGCATGTCACTAAGCAATAAAAATCAAATCTTTAACCCTAACATGATACTAACAATCATAAATATTAGGAAGAGAACAAAAGGCATCATAGCAATCATATTTAATATTAAAATTAACCTAGACATGATACTAGGAATATTATAATAACAATATAAACATGATTTCTACATCATAAATCAATTAATCAATTAAAGTACTTACTTTAATGCCTCGTACCTCTTTCTAATAACAAAATACACACGTTAGTAACTTCAAGGAAAAATAATAAAACAAACAATTAAATTAAATAATTGAAATAGAGATTTGGGACCAAACCCTCAGAAATTAAACCTTTCACGCCTAGGACGAAGGCAACTTCAAATATGGCTAGGTGTATCTAGATCTTGTGAATGCAGAATTTTGTATGAAAAAGCAAGAAAGAATTGAATGCTAAAGAATTAATGATTGTTGATGAAAGCTAATTAAAACTAATTATTGATGAGAATTCGTGAATGAAAGATGATGAATGATGATTGTAGATCATGAATTGTAGATGAATGAAAACAGAGTTTTTTGATACGATATTTATAGAGAAAATCAACCAAAAAAGATAATTTAACAAAACAGAGTCTGACGCACGCACAACAAGGTTGGCGCCAACCCTGGCTAGCTGGCGCCAAGCACCAGTGGCTAGCGCCTGGCGGCAATAGCTAGCACCTGGCGCCAAGCCTGGTTCCAGGTGCCAAGGCCTGGGGTTGGACGCCAAACTGGATTTCAACGCGTTTTCGAAAATCTGATAAATTTCCCGTACTGGAAGATAAAATAATATAATTCCTTCGAAAATATTATTTAATGTTGATTAAAACTTTGAAAAGTCAACAAAATCAACTTATCAATGGTAATTGAATTAGGAATGAAAAGAACCTTCTAAAAGATTCTAGAAGACTTAAACCATTCCTAATTGCATTAGGAATGATAAATCACATTAGGCCCTCCCCTAGATCATTGGGCCGTACATAAAGCTCAAACCGGGCCCAGTTTAGTAAATTGGCCATAACTTCCTCAATATTCATCGGAATTGGGCTTATAATATATCGTTGGAAAGGTCTTTGCAAGCCCCATCCAACTACACCACTATTGGACCCATATCATGGACCAACCAAACTGGATTGGCTGTTTTCTTAAAATAAAGTTTTCCAAAACAGGGAGAAGAGAAAAGAAATAAAACTTTCCGCAACACTAGACCTTTCCACACTTTCGTTTCATTCGATTATGATTCGACGTGAAAGGTACTCATCACCGGGTTTGGTTTTGGGGAGACAAAAATGGGTGTCTACAATTGGTCTCTTTTTTTTGGTGTTTTCAAGTCATAGACACCTTCATACACTTAAAATATGAATTATTTGAGAGAGAATGAGTTCAGTACTTAAGTAAAGAAGAAAATAGGCAAACTAGAAGGTTTCTTTGCTTTACTTGTAACTTATGTTGTTGGTAATTTTTTAAACAATATATGTTTGTATAATGTATTTCTTTTAGGAGACCTATCAGAAGAAGGTTGAAGAAGCCACCACTCAAGGGATTATAAAGAGTCCTAATGAGTTGTATTGGGACATTTTGGGTGGTTGCAACAAGAAGGGTCGTGTAAGGGGACTTGGCCAAAGTGTAGAGCTATACTATGGCAACCGGATGGGTCGAGTTTCCAGGTCTTCACAGCAGTACGCACCGTCCGTTGTTTCTCAGATGCAGGATCAGATGGAGCACAAGGTGCAGGCTCTTCGCAGTGAAATCCAGAGTAAACTCCCACTACACCAAAAAGTATATTAGAGATCGCAAAATATAGAACGGTTAGCAAAGATAGGCATTTTACAGAGGAATATAGAACGTGTTTATATAAGAGGCATTATGTATGTTAATAGATATGGAACGGTTAGCATATTTAACCGTTCTCTATTTCTTTTTACTCAAATAATTAAAAAAATAATTAATTATATGATATAGAACGTTCATCTTGAAAACCGTTTTGTATTGTATTAATTAATTGTTTTTTTTTAAATTAGGAGAAAAAAAAAATACGGAGTAATAATTTACCCAAATTAACAAAGGCAGCTATATGTAAGGAATATTGAAGCGCGCTCATCAATTTCACTTTCACTTTCACTTTGCACGTTCATTTTCACTTTCACTTTCATAGAATACCTTTAAAAAAAAGTATTGTATTGTTTATTGCTTCAAAAAGTGAAACCTCCATAGTAGCCGCTTACTGTTTTGCCGCGCCACCTTACACCACCGCACAATATCTGCAGCACCGCAGTTGTCCGCTGAGCCACCAGTGCAAGGAGGTAGGCTCGATTTTTTTTTTTTTTTTTTTTTTTTTTTTTTTTGGAAACCAAGGTTTGAATTTTTTTCGTGTCACAGAGTAATTGGATTATGATAATTTGTCTGTCTACTTGCATGCATGAATCATTCCAATTATGAATACAGAAGTAAATCCGTAGTTTTCATCTATTAAGGTTATTTGCAATTCGAATTTTAGGTGATTGAAATAAACTTTCAATTTCTAGTTTTAATGATAAATTCAATCGATTGTTTGTATGCAAATATTTCAGCCGAATTGCAGTAAGTTCAATCAAATTACTCTTAATTTTGTCGAATTCACATTTATTTCAGTTGTAATCTAAGTTATTTTAGCCAAATTAATCTCACATAAGTTCAATTTAGAACCCTAATCAGATTAAAAAAAAAAAGGAACAGAGAGAGAGGACTTAAAATAGTGAGATAAGCATTAAATAGTACTATATTTTTGGTTTTGGTTTAGTGGTGGTAATATATGCTATTGGTAGAATTGATGAGGATATGGCTGAGCCCATTTTGTGAATTGGGTGTCGTTTAAAAACCAAATATATTGGAATTTTGTGTTTACATCTGCTTTTGAATAAGATTCAGAGCCGTCATAGACTTGCTTTTCTGCCTCTTTGAATCACATATCTCTAAAATTATGTGATTTGTTTGATAATTGAATCAAATTTGGTTGCTAATGTAATGCACAACACTTTGATGTTAGGATTGAACTATGAAATTAGACCTCTTCTTCCTTGCAGGGCAGCCCCTCTTGCCCTAGAATAAATGATAATTTGTGAATTTGTGTGAAATTTGAGGGTTCTAGTCCTTTTAGAGTGATATTTGAATATGAAACCCTAGATTAAAGTATAATTTGTGAACTTGTGTGAAATTTGAGGGTTTTAGAGTGATAATTAAATGGCGATCATGGTGTATTTGTGTCAGTATAATTTCTACGGGTTGTCGTTTTCGAGTTATTTTTATGAATGGGATAATTTTGTGTGTTACACGAGAAAGAAATTATTTAATGAAGTTTATCTCAATTTTTGTGTTTATATGTAGTATGTTGCAAGATTTGGGGTTTAACACTATACTTAAACTTTTATGCATAACCAATTTTCGTTGAATGAAAAGATGTTTCAGGACGCCTCAAAATAGTTTATTGATAGCAAAAGTATTTTTGTTGAATAATGTGTCGCCTATCGGAAGCACAACGATATCTTTTCATCTTAAGTAGACTTTATAAGCTATGTTAATTGGACTCGGGTACTTGTGTTGGACTTGGGTCCATGTCTAATGTCCAAGTATCTGACTTATGTCTTTTATTTTTTTACTTGAATGGAGTAATGAAGTGTCCACCTTCATTTCATATTTTCTAATATTGTACTTCGGCAACTGACTCCAAATGAAGAGTCCAAGTAATGATAGTTATTGGTTTTTCACGTTTACTTTCAATTTCCTATGTTTCTGCACATCTCTGATTTTAGCCACAGGAATTAGAGAGATATATGTTTGCCTTTGCTATCTACATCAATAAGAGATTGGGTGAGGAAACTACAAGTGATAAGAATGAAGGTGGTAATCAGAGTGGAGTTACTTTGTGTCAGATACTAAAAGCCGTGAAGTTGAAGTACTTTGTCACACTATGATTTTGAATATGACGTTTATATAAGTGAATTGTATTTGTTGTTCAGGATGTGATTATTTTTATTTTTTTTACTAGTCTTGTAGATTTTTTCCAAAGAGCTTCCTCAGTTTATTGTTAAGGTTGGCCCAATCTTAAGTAACATGTATGGTAAAGATTGAGAGAAGAGACTTGAGGTATGTGGAAAATCTGATCTGACTTCAGATGACTTTTCTTTATTTAATGTATTGGAGTATCCACATATTTGATTGAGAATTATGCTAACTTATTATTTGATCAGGTGAAGGAGCTGCTGGACAATTTTGTGCTTTGAGCCTTTTAAGCAAGTAGGCCTTCTCTTTCTACTGTTTTTTTTTTGTGTATATGTCTTAGTTTTTTGGATTTAAAATTCAGTTAAACTGGGCTTTTGCAAATCATGCCAAATTGACTGCATAGCTTATAATTATAGTTAAAACTGAAGTCCCTGAGCTCTTTGTGCTGATGGCTATGATATTTGTCTTTCTTATGTGATTATCATGTAAACCTTTAAGGCTGTACTGTAAACATTTTATTTGGTAAAGTTTTCCTTATACCATCTATGGCGGAAATAGTAAATTGAGCTGCGATGTTGTTGATCATGTTGTTGAAGATCAGAATGTTAAGTTTAAGTAAATAGAGAAATAATATTTGGAGTAAACGACTTAAGCCTCAACTGTTATTCACAAACATTATATAGGTGTTACTCTGTTCATATTTAACAAAGAATTATGACAAGAATGACATATTAGGGTAAATTGTTATTTACTTATCTGATTTGCTTTGCTGTTAAATGGCTTAAACCTCAGAGTCCTACCTTGGAGTCACACTTATCTAGCCATAGCAACTTTCTTACTATATTAAGAAGACTGCGTCACTAAGTCTGTAATTGTTTCTCTTATGGGTCTATAGCTGTAGTCGACAACTAGGATTCTTGATTCATTGGATAATAGTGTAGTCATAATTTATTGTATTTTTTTTTTGAGGTCGTATATTATTAACTAATATGTATGTATTTTACATTGTTTTATAGTATTTTAAGCAAGTTCCTCCTACATATTCTCAACAAATGACCAACGAGCTTAGGGAAAGGTGGACTTCATATGTTACTAGATACCATCAACCAAATGACGACGATGATGATTTATGTGAATTTTAGATCAATATGATATTGGTACATCTTAGCATAATTTTTTTAAAATCAACATTAATTAGAAAGGTTTTATGATTTTTCACTCGTATTTGTTTGTATAGAACAAATTTTGAATGAATGATTCAATTTAATTGCGGTTGGATGTTTTGAATTATATATGTGAAGTATATTTTGATGGCTTTCGTCGTATTTGGAAATATTTTGGTTAATTTTATTATACTAAAAGTTATATTGCACGTATACAGGATCATGAATTTATTTTACATTGGAAATGTGAAAATTTTCTTACAGATAAATGTACAAGATAAAATACAGGAATACAACAAATACAGGTCTAAAATAAAATACAAAATACCAGAATAATACAAGATAAAATACGTACATGGTAATTCGAATTATCAAATATATATGGCCAGATTTGTTTTTTTTAAAAAAAAACATTAGAGAATTGTTATCTAACTTAACTGTTTTCTATTGTAATGCAATATAGAACGGTTAAGTGGCCTAAACCGTTCTTTATTCCTTCCTTAATGTACGATTTTAAGAAGGGAAAATAGAACGGTTGTGACTAACAACCGTTCTTCATTTGTCAATATATAAAACGCCTAAATGACCCGTTCTCTATACTTTATAAATCGCTTAGCAGAAGAACGCCCCTAAGGCGATCTACAAAGCCTATTATAACAGTTCTCTAAGGCCTTTTTTGTAGTAGTGTCCGGAGTAAAATGGAAGCTGAGATGCAAATCCGAATTCAAGCTGAAGTGGCCGTAATGGAGAGGAGAGGTGGGATAAGTTCATGAGTCGATTCGCCATCAATGACACATGTTCCACCTTTCATCCTTAGCATCGAGACCCGAGGGACGACCCGGGTAGTGGAGGAGCAGGACAGGGTACCCCGACAATTGTTTAGCCTAGCTTTGGTTTATGTAGTATGGACATGTACTTAATTTGAATTATGTAACGTTTTATTATGTTCCCGCTTTTGTTAGAATGACTATATATCATGTCGCTTTTGATTATGTTCGATTAAGTGTAGCTTTTGTGCAAATATATATATATATCAATATTTCCTTAATTCGATTATGATTTTAATTATCACAGGTATTAGGTGCAGGAGATAGGTTTTGAATGATGCTAATTTTTTCAAAAAATTAAATCAGAATTTGTTGAAATGTTATTTCCGACGGAAATTCCGAGGTTTAAATCCGTCGGAAGAAGCAATTTGCTACGGAAATATTGGATGAAATTTCCGTCGCAAACCTTAAACATTGCGAGGGATTAAAATTCCGTGGCGTCGTAAATTTATGACGCATATTTCTGTCGTAATTTTACGACGGCATTTGAATCCCTCGCAATTGTTAAGGTTTGCGACGGAAATAATCCGTTGGAAATTAGTTGTTAACGACCAAAATTTCTATCGTAAAGGCAATTCAATGACGGATATTATTCGTCGTAAAATAGCGACAGATTTTGAATTAAAGTCAACTTTTCGACGGAATATTCCTCGAAAAATCAACTTTTTTCTACGAACGGTTTTCCGATATACCTTAGCGACGGAATTCCGTCGTTAATGTGGTTTGCGACGGAATATTAGCCTCCAGCGACGGATCTTTTCGGTTGGAAAATGGCCTAGTTCTAGTAGTGTCTTCTTCTTTATCAAACAAGATTTGCAGTTTGTTAAACGTTTTCTCATCTTTAGTTTCTTTATTCTTTTCTTTGTTACTAATAGGTCTTTTAGGGAGTGATACAATAAACTTTTTATTTTTATTTAAATTTTGAAAAGGATACTTATATTTATACAGTACAATTTTCTCTTTATTAGGTGATACGTCTTTACCCAATTGATGCCTAATTTCGTTTGTTAAATCAAGTTGATCTTGTTTTTTTAGATCGCTTACTTTTTTATTAATATCGGTTGTGGTTATTGATATCATATTTTTGATATTAATAAAACGAGCATGTATGTTATCAACTTCCGATCTTAATTCACCAATTTGATCTACTATATAATTAAGGATTAGGCCAAAATTACTAGTGTTTTCAAATATATGAAAATAATGCTTAAAATCATGTTTCTTACACTAAGTAGAATGCCTAGTATTCTCCAGTTTTACTTAATTATTAATTAAATTAACAACTTAGTTTAGCTTTTAACCGTATGGCTCTAATACCATTCGAATGCAGCTAGATACCAATAAAACCGTAGTTAGGATACCAATAATATAACAACATATACCAATGATAATAGTTGATAAATAAAATACCAATCGTAGTACTATGATGATACCAATGTGTTGTAGGATGGTATTTTGATACTACTTAGGATGGTATTTGCAGGAAATATTTCAAGCATCCCACACTTGAGTCCCACTGTGATCATACACTTAAGCATAGTGGCGTCCAAAGGGAATGAAGCTAGAGTAAAAGAGTCGACAACAAGTTTTAGGAACTTAAAAATCGTTTATAGGGTGAAGGTTACACCCTTTCACGATCCATGAGATCGCTAACTCCATAGTGGCCTGGAACCATGACTGGATATTCGGGGATGAAGGTAAAAGTCCAACTTAAAAGAGATTGAACCTGACCTAAAAATAGGCATCTACTTTATTCTTCTCATATCCATGTGCGCTTTCTAACTAACATGCAATCAATAGGTTAACCTTAAACCTGTTTAATCTATGTTGGTTGAATATTAGTGCACAAACAAATCTATTATTGGCGATCACTTGAATTATAATCATATCAGCCTAAACAAGATTATTAAATATCATATTAAGCGTGATTACAAGTGCAAATTCCCTTTAAACATGCATAAAAGGCGTGATCAAGCAATAACAATAATAATATCAAGCAACAACCATCATCATCATCATAATAATATCAATAAAGCATAAAAACAATAGCAAGATCCTAGGCATTACTAACAAAATTAATAACAAACACTAGCAGGTCACTAAACATTAAAGATCAAATCTTTAACCCTAACATGATACTAACATGATATTAAAAAGAATAAGAAGCATCATACATGATATTAGAAATTTTAGTTATTACCCTAAACATGATACTAGGAATTAAAATAATCAAAGCATGATTTCTATATAAATAATAACATTTAATTAAATTACTTACTTGGATGCCTCGTATCTTTTTCAAATAACAAAATACACGCGTTAGTAACTTCAAGGAAAATATTAAACAAAACAATCAAATTAAATAATTGAAATAAGATTTGGGACCAAACCCTCAGAAATTATAAACCTTTCACGTTTAGGGCGAAGGCAACTTCGAACTTGGCTAGGTGTTTTTAGAACTAATGTATGTGGAATTTTGTAAGAGGGAAGGGTTTAGAAAAAGAATAGAGAGAGAATAAGCTTCTAGCTTTTAGAGAGAGTGAGAATAGAGATTGATGATTGTGAATGATTAAAAACGAGTAGATATGACGCCTATTTATAGAAAAATAGTCCGGAAAAAAATCAAGTCCCATTAGGAATAAAATACCTCCTATCGCGAACGACAAGAGTTAGCGCCAGACGACAAGCTTAGCGCCAGACGACAACAGTTAGCGCCAGGCGATAGCTATTAGCCCAGGCGACAGACTTGTCGTCTTACGCTAAGTCAGAAATAAAATGCGCTTTGCACGCGCAATCCTCTTATTAATATGATTAAGCAGCAAATTCCGTGTTCATCATCAAATTAAAATCGGGTTTATCATAAAACACTTATTTTATTCCAAATAAAACTCCTTAAAATATAATTATCAATCTTAATACTATTAGAATTTAAAAAAACCTTCTAGATTATTCTAGAAGATTAAAAGTCAATCCTAATAATTTTAGGAATAATAATTAATAGGCCCTCCTCTAGATCATTGGGCCGCATATAAAATTCATTTTGGGCCCAGTTTAGTTTTTAGGCCATAACTTCCTCATTATTCATCGGAATTGGGCTTATAATATATCGTTGGAAAGCTCTTTTCGAGCCCAATCCAACTACACTATTATTGTTAATTAGTATATACTAGACCCTAGGGTAGGTAGCCCAACCTACACCCCCTCTAAACGCAGCGTTTAGAGTTACTACCCACACCCCCCCACTAACCCACAGTAATTACCCACTCCCCACATTAACCGCAGTAACTGCATAAAAAACTTCCCCTACCCCACATATATACATATACATATATATATATATATATATATATATATATACACATAAAAAAAATAATTAATTTCAAATCATTTTCTCTCTCTAAACACCATCCTCTTCATTTCTCTAGAGTTTCTCTCTCATCGAACCCAACGAATCGGAACAAATTTCAATTTAAATCACTGAAAAATTGCTTCAAAATACTCCAAAATTGCTTCAAATGTCTGATATTCGAGAAGAAATTAAACAATCACAACAAAAAGAGTAAGTAATTTCATTAGTTTTGTTCATTTTTTGAGATTGTAGTGCAATTTTATGTATGAAACCTTAATTTTGTTCATTTTGTTGCGATTGTAGTGCGGTTTTGCAAAAAACCACTACAGAGAAGAACATGTAAGAAGAAACTGCAAAATCGGAGCAAAATGTATCTAAAGAGTAAGTAATTTTGTTCATTTTCTTTCGATGACAATTATAGTGCGATTTTATATGTGAAACCTAATTTTTGTTCAATTTTTTGCAATTGTAGTATGATTTTGGAGAAGAATACTTCAGAGACGAGTAATTTGTTGAAAATTTCTGAAGAAATGTATGAACCCTAACTTTTGTTCAATTTAGTTCAATTGTGTGTATGAACCCTAATTTTTGTTCAATTTCTTGCCATTGTAGTAAATTTTACTGAATATTAACAAATTAATATAAACAATAACAATTTATTAAACAAAACAGAGACGATGATGATGTACCTCTTCAGCCAAGAATAGAAAAGTTGAAAAAAAAAACCGCCAAAATGCTCCAATTGTAGATCCTGAACTTTTAAAAGATATTGACAAGTCAATTGGTACGGATTTAAAAATGTCTCCATTACCAAGCTAATTAGTCATTTACATAATATATTATGTTCACGTCTAATATGCTAGTTGTATTTGATAAAAATTGGTTTTATCTTTGTTTAATATGCTATTTGTATATGATCATATTTGATACTCATAATGTTCATTTATAGATATAGTTATGATCATATATTTATATTTGTTCATTTGAGTATTCATTGAGATTTAAGAGCAAAAGTACATTTCATTGAAACATCATTGTATATGATCATATTTGATACTCATAATGTTCATTTATAGATATAATTATGATCATATATGTATATTTGTTCATTTGAGTATTCATTGAGATTTAAATAACAAATTTACATTTCATTAAAACATCATGCACATATATAAATATGATAATAATCATTTCAGTGATATGCATTCAAACTAATGTCATGTAATTAATTTATAATGTAGTGATGTGCCATTTAGAGTGATACACTTGCTTCAATTTAGAGATGGAAAATCTGAACCATTAACTCTAAAGAAGGTTATAGAACAAAATGAATATGGTAATAGCTATCAAAGATACACTTTAAACAAGTAAATTTATATGTATAAAATAATAGTTTTTACATGCAATTATTGTACATTGTATATATATACCAAACTTATCAGGTAATTCTTAAAATTTTAGTGAAAAAAAAAGGTTCGAGCGAAATTTGTTATGTCAAAATCAAGACCACCAGAGACAAATCAAACAATAAGGTATAAAAGCTTTATACCAAAATAACTAATTATCTTCTTCATTGTATAAATTAGTTCATACTTTAATATCATATTATATAAAATAATTATGTTGTTTTTAAGTGAACAAAGTGAGAACATTTCTGCTACTCATGCAACAACTAAGAGTATGTCAGCTACACCTAACACAATTGACAAAGAGAGTAGGGATCAAAGATATACTAATTCTCACTTTTATATAAACATATGTTCATTTTACATACAAAATTTTTTCATTTCTTATAATAAAAATTCTAATTAATGAATATATACAATATTCAGTGAAAAGAATGTGGAACAAAATCAGGATACAATTGTACCTGAAAAGGACAAACATGATGAAGATCAAAGGTATTAATGAATAATTTTCATTTAATTTTTGATAACTTTATATTTTGTGTACAATTTATGTGCATTTTTTATTAAAAGTATTTCTTAAAATTGATTTCAGCCAGCAAAAACAAGTTCAGCCAAAAGAGCAGAGCAATTCAGACAAGAATACTCCTGACAAAAAGGACAAAAATGAAGTTGATCAAAGGTATAAATATATAATGTTCATTTCATTTTTGATAAATATCTATTTTGTGTACCATATATGTTCATTTTTATTTAAAGTATTTTTTAATATTGATTTCAGCAAGCAAGAAGAAGTTCAACCAAAAGGGCAAAGCAATCCTGAAAAGAATAGTCTTGGCCAAAAGTAAGATAACTTAAATGTTCATTTTAGATAGACTATATGTTCATTTGCAAATCAGTACAAAAAAGTTTACTCCTGGCCAATAGTAAGATAAGTTAAATGTTCATTTTTTATAGACTTTATGTTCTTTTTTTATTTATTAATCAAAATTGTAAATTCAAACATATTTTTAATGAATTATCAGAAAACCCAAAGATGATGCAAGAATAACAACATTAAAGGACAAGATGCAAGAAATACATTTAGACATAGAGAGAAACCCAAAGTATGTTTAAATTTGAATAATTGAATTAATATAATCAATTAATGTATATATTTCAAAGTTATATAACAGTATCATACATTTACAGGAAGTACAAAGAATTGACAATCAGAATTATGAGAAATCTCAAAAGAATGGAAAAGGCAAGCAAGGAAATCAGGAGAGGTAAATGATCATATTTATGTAGACACCCAAATGTGTCTCCCAAAACCAAACCCAGTGATGAGTATCTTTCACGTCGAATCATAATCAAATGAAGCGAAAGTGTGGAAAGTTTAGTGTTGCGGATAGTTTTAATTTCTTTTCTCTTCTCTCTGTTTTTGAAAACTTATTTTAAGAAAACAGCCAATCCAGTTTGGTTGGTCCATGATATGGGTCCAATAATAGTGTAGTTGGATGGGGCGAAAAGAGCTTTCCAACGATATATTATAAGCCCAATTCCGATGAATATTGAGGAAGTTATGGCCAATTTACTAAACTGGGCCCGGTTTGAGCCTTATGTGCGACCCATTGATCTAGGGGAGGGCCTAATATAGATTTATCATTCCTAATGCAATTAGGAATGGTTTTAGTCTTCTAGATTCTTCTAGAAGGTTCTTTTCATTCCTAATTCAATTAGCATTGATAAATTGACTTTTGTTGACTTTTCAGAGTTTTAATTAAAATCAAAGAGCATTTTTTGAGGAAAGATACGATTTTATCCTCCTGTATGGCAAAATTTATCTGATTTTAGAAAACACGTCAAAAACAGGATTAGCGCCTAACGCTAGCATTGGCGCCAATCTCGTTTTACGTGCGCTAGACTCTGTTATGATATTTTATCTTTTTGGCTGATTTTCTCTATAAATAACGTATTAAAAACTCCGTTTTCGATAACCAGTTTTAACGAATACATTCACCAACAACCAGTTTTCATTCATCAATTTTCTCATTCTCTTCTCATTCACCATCTCTCTCTCTCTCCCTTTTTCTAAACTTGCTTTTTACACGCATTCGCAAGATCTAGAAACACCTAGCCATATTCGAAGTTGCCTTCGCCCTAGACGTGAAAGGTTTAATTTCTGAGGGTTTGGTCCCAAATCTCTCTTTCAATTATTTAATTTAATTGTTGTTTTATTATTTTCCTTGAAGTTACTAACGTGTGTATTTTGTTATTAGAAAGAGGTACGAGGCATCGAAGTAAGTACTTTAATGGTTTTTATTGATGTTATCATGTAGAAATCATGTTTAAATTATTATGATATTCCTAGTATCATGTCTAGGGTAAATTTAATACTAAATATGATTGTTACGATGCTTCCTATGTTATTCCTAATATTTATGATTGTTAGTATCATGTTAGGGTTAAAGATTTGATTTTTATTGCTTAGTGACATGCTAGGGTTTGTGATTAATCTTGTTAGTATCATAGGATCTTGCTATGCTTTAACATGATTATTATTATTAATTATAATTGTTATTATGATGATTATTATTATGATTATTCTTTATGATTTATGATTAATATGATTGTTATTATGATGATTATTTTTAATTATGATTGTTATGATTATAATTTTATTATTATTATTATTATTATTATTATTATTATTATTATTATTATTAGGATATTTTGGATTTTAACACCTTACAAAAGGCTGAAAATGTTTTTTAACACCCCCCAAAAAAAAACTTTTATTTTAACACCTCCCAAAAATATAAAAGTTGGAAGTTAACACCAAAATCCATCTTCCGTTAACAGAACTGTTAGTGGGGCCCACCCCAACGGATATATTTTTAAAAGATCTGTATATAAGAACCATTCTTCCACGATTCTTGCACGATATATAAGAACCATTCTTGCACGATTCTCCCCCAATGAACGAAATCGTTGTTCTTATTGAATAGCAGCAGCGCATTGCATTGTTGCACGATACTTGAAACAATTCTTTCACGATTCTTCCACGATTTTTGAGAAGAGGAACAGATTGAAGCTGCTGAAACAGGTGAGTGCGGTCAATTGTTCGGTTGTTTGGTAATTATGGTTTAAATTCTCTTCAATTATTATTTGCAATTGTTTCGTACTCAGATTAATGGTTGGATTATGTTATGTACGCATCTAAATGCCCAATTGCGAAATTAGGGTTCGTCAGAAATTGAATTTGGGGCTTTTCGTATTATGAAATTAAAAATGAATTTTGTTGCTGTCAATGTTAATTCGTCAGTGTACAAATCTGTAAATGTGACTGTCGATCTAAAATTGATGCAGATTATGTCGTTTGTTAGCTCTTCCCCTCCTGAGGCCAGAAAATGTAAGTGTGGTGTGCCAATGGCCAAGCTCACTAGCTGGACAAGGGAGAATCCAGGCAGGAAGTTCATATCATGTAAGTTTTATGACCCAATAACAGAAACAAGGGGTTGCAAAGCTTTCGAATGGGTTGATCAACCTGATGGAACAGATTGGCAAACAGGGGTTATCAACAACCTGTTGTTGGATAAGAAGCTGCTAAAGGGTGAAGTTAATGAATTGAAAAGGGAAGTTGATGAAATCAGTGGCCAAAGGAGGTGCCTACTTAATGAAGTTGATAATTTGAAGATGAGATGCAAGGCCTTGAACGCTGACAGGAAGAGAATGAACAGGGAGTGCAATGAAGGGAAGGTGTCTTCAATCAGCTGTTTTGGTTGGGTGGGCATGGCCATTTGTATAGGTTTGTCAATGGGTGTAATTTTCCTAATGGCTAGGGGTGTGTAATAGTAAGTTGTATTAAGTAGTTATAATTTCTTGTAATGACTTGAAGTGTTATAAATATGTCTTTTAATCAACCTATTTATGCCTTGTCTAAGTTCCTATTTATGCCTTGTCTTTTAATCAACCTATTTAAACATGTGAAACATTAAAACATGGGAAATATGTGAAACACTAAGATAGTTCAAGTACAGGTTGACAAAAGAACCTTACTTCAACATGTTTCAATGGCAATCAAAGCCATGCAACCATTACAATTCAATATCTAATTGTTCAAATTTGTTA